CAACCCATCAGCAGGACCGCTACCTGCTCCTTTGTGTAAGGAGGAGCAGGAGGAGCACTGCCAGAGCCCTACAAAATGACCTCCAGCAGGCCACTGGTGTGAATGTCTCTGACCAAACAATCAGAAACAGACTCCACGAGGGCGGCCTGAGGGCCCCACGTCCTCTAGTGGGCCCTGTGCTCACTGTCCGGCACCGTGGAGCTCCATTGGCATTTGCCACAGAACACCGGAATTGGCAAGTCGGCCACTGGCGCCCTGTGCTTTTCACAGATGAGAGCAGGTTCACCCTGAGCACATGTGACAGACGTGAAAGGGTCTGGAGAAGCCGTGGAGAACGTTATGCTGCCTGTAACATCGTTCAGCACGACCGGTTTGGTGGGGGGTCAGTGATGGTCTGGGGAGGCATATCCATGGAGGGACGCACAGACCTACACAGGCTAGACAACACCACCCTGACTGCCATTAGGGATCAAGATGAAATCCTTGCCCATTGTTAGACCCTCCAACAGCTCAGTGATGCCCTGGTCCAGATCTGGGAGGAGATACCCCAGGACGCCATCCGTCGCCTCATTAGGAGCAGGCCCCGACGTTGTCAGGCATGCATACACGCACGTGGGGGCCATACAAATTACTTTATACCATTTTGAGTTGCTGCAAAGAAATTCCAGCTAAATGGACTATAGCCTGCTGCATCATTTTTTCACTGTAATTTTTGGGGTGTCTTTGAATTCAGCCCTCTGTAGGTTGATCATTTTCATTTCCATCAAATGATGTGGCGTCCTTTTGTTCCTAACACATGACCCAGTCCATATCAGGATAAAGAAACAGCAGGATTTATTTGCCCCATTGAGATCTGATGTGTTTCCTTTAAGTTTTTTGAGCAACATATATATTTATTCCAAAACAGTTTCTTCCCGAGTGTCATTAGACTGATGAAGGTGGAATAACATGGGGAAAAAAAGGGGCTGAATGTTGGAAACACTGTAAATTATATCTCAGTCTTTTGTTTACATTTGATCACCATGTTTACATTTTATCACTGCTGCATTTTAAGAAATGCAAATGTTTTGAGAGTTGTACTCAACGAAATGTAGTTTTGTTTACACTGTGTGTATAAAATGACAATAAAGTTTGTCTAAGTCTATCAACAAAAACTGTCCCATAGTTTAGAAAGTGTTCTTGGTTTTCTAAAAGTCTTTGAGACTCACCCCCTCCTGCCTGGAGAAGAGGCTGAGGCAGACGGCGAGACTGGAGGTGGTCTCGCTGGACAAATCACAGATTTCCTGCATCTTCTGCAGCACAGTCGAAGGAAAACCTGATCAAACAAAATAACAAAAAACAGGAGATTAAAACACCCTCGAAGTAAAAGGAGGAAATGAAGTTTAGTTTTGAAAGTTTCAAAAAGGATCAAGAAAGCTGTGAAAATGCTGGAATCCCTAAAAACCAAAACAGATGGAACGGTCTTAATTAGCAGTAATTCAGACATTTTTATGACTCCGTTTGATGATGCTTTCAGTTTTAATCACAAGCCTTTCATTTCTGCTCTTAAATGGTTGAAAGGCGTTTAAGGTTTCCTTCTCACATGTGGATGGGTGCAAAATTAAAGAACAAAGAGTAAAAATGAACAGAGAAATTAAACTAATTGCTTTGGTAGAGATGCACCACATTCCATCAGGTGATGAAACCCCTATTAAATCTGACCCCCATCAATGGACGGTTTAAAGGAAATGATGTAAATTATATGCTACAGTTTAGGCAGTCACCTATTTTAACCCGTTTTTATGGCTCCACAGCGATGAATCATAAAATCACTGATAAATGAAAATATAATTGCATCAGAGGAATTTCAGAGAAATTATCAATAATCTTAGTTTAATCTAAGTTGTTTTCTCTCCTTTCCCATGAGGCGTTAAGGTGTTTTCTTTAGTTTGCTTTTGAATTTGTGCTAATAGTTCAGTTGGAGAGAAAAACAGAAGAGAAATGCAGGTGAAAAGGCTGGTTTTACGTTCTGACAGGCCGTCATCTTTCAGCAGGGATAGGAGCGCCGCCACCTCGTTTTCCAGCTTCTTCTGGCTAACATCGGCTGCCTGGGGGGGGGGCAGAGAAAGAGCAGAAAGATGCAGATGAGCTGAAGCGGCGCAGGTCAGGCTGAAACATGGCGGAGCTCTCGTCCACTGAAAACACTCCAGACCATTGTGTCAGCGCGCTCATTAGGTGTTTTTGTTTACAGCCACCTGTAGCGAGTCTGTCAGTTCCCCTAGCGACATGCCCTTCTCCTCCTCGTCCTCCTCCTCCTCGCTGCCCTGCTCCTGGGAGCAGTAGTGTGTGCTGTAAGCTGAGTGCTCTTCCAGCGCATCCAGCCATGCCTGGACAGAAATTGTGAATATTTTGATTCAAATTGAAAATAATTTGAAACTTTGCAGCATTTTGACACACAGAGAAAGGAAGCTATCCAAAGAGTTTTATGCATAAATACCTTTAGATTAATTAGAGTTCATTTTAACAGTTGTGGAGTTTGGAAGCTGAGGCAGAGACGAATTTTTGCAAAAAT